AGCTGCAGCTAACTCGGGTCGGGAAAATGCGACAGCGACTGCCCACTCGAGGTCGTCATGGCGACAGCCAGTGAACGTGTTCCTCTCCTCGGGCAGGCCCCCGAGTGTAGAGGAGCTGCTTCGCGAGGCGCAGTTCAATCTCCAGAGCCTGTTGCAAGGTACCGAGAGGGAGGGGGGCCGCGGCCAGACCCCACAGGCCAGATGCGCAGCGGCTGGAGGGAGGCACTGAAGACAGGACGGGGAGCAGAGAGACAGACAGACAGAGCCGTTGAAAACCTACCGAGACACAAAACACACACTTTTCATCTTTCCCCTCCTAGACTGATGATTCCAAGAGGCCCTATTTCTAAGGCCGTTTACCACCGGCCTCTTTTTTTTTCTTTCTGTTTTTGGCGTTCAGTAGTAGTTCCTGGGGAGGAAAGGACAGAGACTGAGGCAGGGCAATGGGTCACACCATTTCCAGAGACAGCTGGCTGAGAGCCTCCCACAGTGTGGCCTGCGTACCCTCCACACCTTCTCTTGCCACAGCGCCCATGCCTTTGGAATCCCGGCACCCAAAGCCAAAGGAGCCATCTGCAGGGTCTCCCACTGGGGGCTTCACTCCCTCTGCTCTGCACTAACCCCATCCGCGTGTCTCCTAGCTACTGCCTCATCGCAGCAAGCCTGGTACAAAGCGCCCAGAGCTCACCGCATCCCCAGTGGCGGTCCCAGTGTCTTTGGAGTAGACTCATGGGCACGTGCTACGCAAAGCTGGGTCCGCCAGACCCACACAAGCAGCCCAGTCAGAGTGCCTGAGCAGTTGGACTGCAGCCACCAGGCACAAGGACAAAACCCAGACTTGGAAAGCAGACGGAGCTGGCCGTGTGACATTATGCAGATTATCCACCCTCTCTGAGCTTCAGATTAACCAGTCATCTTTAAAATGGGGCTACCACACATGGCATCATTTCGTGAGAACTGACAATAAGGCATATGTAAATTGATTAGCAAGACTATCTTGCAGCTGGAGAGACCCTGATAAGATGTGACACCAACCCCTAGTACATGTCCCTTGGGACAGGGGCTGAGCTAAGCTCAGTATTAAAGTGGATATGAAAGAAACACCAAGGTGATGCCTGATAGGACCTTACAGTTTGAAAAGCATATGCTTTGAGCGGAGGGACTTATGCAATGTAAGTGGCAAAAGTCTGACAGCTCAGCGCTCTGAGGGAAATGACTGGCGTGCCGCAAATCACTGGATGGGAGGCTGCGAGGGGCGCGCGGGCATCCACACGCGCTGGACTGTGCGCTTAAGATTTGTGCACTTTACATAACTTGCATCGCAATAAAATAATACAAATAAAACCTCAGTGCTAAGTCACAAGCTCCACTAACCCTCCGGGCCTAGAAGCCCTCCCCCCATCCCTCTTCCCCGCTCCAGTCCGGACAGCTTCTTCAAGTTCCGTCCTTGCCTCATGCAAGGCCTTTAACATGAGTTCTGCGCTTTGCATCGTTCCGGCCTATGACGCACTTTGCAATATCCGGTTCAAGGGGACTTGTATAGTTCTGAACTCCTTTTTCTTTCATTCGTTCATTCATTTCTTCATTCATCTACTAGTCCTGGGTATATATTTTGTCCACCTAAGCAGACTGAGTTTGTCAGCATAAAGAAACACACGCCTCGGGCTTCCAGAAGCACCTGGCACAGGGCTGGATCCCCAAGAAGTGCTGAGTAGACATTTGTTGAGTGAACATTAAGAGACGTCTTATCAGCGCTTGTTTATCCATGCCAACTAAGAAAATGACAGGTGGCCACCAAACTGGACTATGGCCATAACGCCCACCTCTCTGCTAGGGCAGCGGTGACCTTAGAAAAACAACATTCCAAGGGACACCCTGAGCCTTCATGCATGCAGATAACAGAGAGCTACCATGCAAACAAAGAGTCAGAGTGTTTTGTGTTGCTGCCTTAGGCAGAATCGGGGCTTGGGGGGATGGGGGAGCCTAGAGGGAGGCAAATTTCACCTCGAGATAAGGAAGAGCTTTCTTGACACAAGTGACAGCCCTAAGTGTCCTTGGACTAAATGAACGGCCTTGGGGGAAGGCCGCTCCCCCCCTGTGCAGGTGTGTACAGAGGCCGAAAAGGCACCTGGGAGGGCTGCTGATGGGGGGAGTCCGAGCCCACAATGGGCTGTTGCACCAGAGGACCTCTGGGGCCCCAGCCGACTCCAAGTTTCTATGATTCCTAAAGTCCGTCTGTGTACTCACGTACACATCGAATTCATCACTCACAAAAGACCATCCGAATCATACTCATCCTTCTTATTTCCTGACGCTGCCTCGGACTTCTCATTTCTTCTGTGCCACCATTTAGCCTTCCCTCTCCTTCACCTTAGCTCCCCGCCCACCCGAGGCCTGGCCCCACGACCTCCGGGGGAGCATGCCACGTTGGGCTTCCTCATGCAGATCCCTCTGCGCCTCACACAGTTTCTTTCCGGGGTTGCGGAACCTGGACAGAGAACCTGACAGCAAAAAGTAGCAGAAGGACTCTGCACGCTGCGCCCTGAGCCTCTGCTCTGAGTTGAGCACTTCAAGTGGGGTCCTTGAGACAAGGACCTGGTCCCAGAACCAGCACAGCTCAAATTTCTTGACTCCCTTTCTCTCGGCTCTCAGAGTCCCAGAGAGTAGGCATTTTTCCATTTCCGAATCCAGAGGCTCAGACGCCAGGAAGTACCGTAAAGAAGCCTCGCGGGTCAGGCCTGGCAGCTAGAGCGGGAACCCCAGCTCGGTCCCTCCCTGCCCAGTGCTTGGCCTTGGCCGTGGCCCCCTAGAGTGTGTACCCGCTGTGCTGTTTTTCAGAGGAATATGAGGAACAGTACTCGGAGGCCAGACTGCTGGGGCAGACCTTCCGCTCTGCCGATGAGGCCCCTGAGCCCACCCCCAGCCCAAGGCCCCAGTCGGCCAGGCGTCTGGAGTTTGTACTGATGGTGAGTCGCCTCTTCCCCTGCCTGGGAGAGCCAGCATGGGGAGCTCGCCCTGCACCCAGCGACAGGGGACCTCAAGCTGCTTCCGTTATCCACTAGAAGCTGCTGCCCACCTCTGCCCAGCAGCAGAGCAACCCCGAGGCTCACCGACATGGGCCCTGCACTGCAGGTGTCTGGCCTGGCAACCTGCGCACACTTTCCTGCCTCCCAGACAGCAGCTGGCCCGTGGGCATGGTTCATCCCCAGTCAGGAGCCCACCCTTCCCATCGCCTTCTCTCCCAACAGCCTAGAAAACAGCAGCTGAGCGAGGATGAGACCACCACGCAGGGCGTGAGGGCCCCCGAGGCCTCCCTGAGCCTGTCTACCACAGCCGACAAGCAAGCTGCCTGGGATAGCCCCTCCCCTCTGCCCACCCTAGACGAGAAGCGGTGGCTTCAGCCTTGTTCCACGCACTCTGACATTGTGCCCATCAACATCTCTGGTAGAGTTGCTTAGCACGCCCTCTGTCTGCTTCCCTCCATGCCAACCACAGACCATCCTCCCCAAAAGCAGCGGGTGCCCGGGGAGGGAGCGAGACATCCTTTGCTTCTGGCTCGCACTGCACTGTCAAGGTCATGGCTCTTGCCAGGGAATGGAGGCATGCAGAAGAGGGGGCTCTGGCTGTTCTTTCTTCACTGTACACTGAGACCGTCTCATCACAAACAAAACGTTCTTAGCAGGAAACTCTAAAACTCGATCACCATGCGTGCTCTTTAGAACGTGTAAGGAAATTGGAACTTTGTGAGTTATGCGTGGGCTGGGGACAGAAGACTTCTTGTGCCACAAGCTGGGTCTGGATAGGAGTCGGAGGGGAAACATGGCATTCAGGGTGCTCGTGGTAAAAGGGGGGTCACAGCCAGGACACAGACCACGGGCCCAATGGCACTTTATTTACGTAGACACTCGCTCTTCCAGTGAGGTGGGGCTCCTCAACCTGTGTGGCAAGCGTTCCAAAACGGAAGTAACGGAAGGCGCCAAGGTCTTTATGGCGGGACCCAGGACCGCCTTGACAGTGGGGAAAGTGATGTATGTCACTCAGCTGGCCGTGACTTTGCAGTTGTGTGACACCTTATACCACACGCGTTATGAAGTCGCGCTCCACACTCCAGCGGCTGTAAGTGGAAGAGGGAGAGGGTTGGTCATTTGAGGAGACAGGGCCAGCAACCCGGTGAAATCAAGACCTCATAACCCAAAGGGGCCAGAGGCACCCTGTCAGCCAGCACTGGCCTGTGCCGTGCTGGGAGAAGTTGACAAAGGTGACGAGGACAGCTTTGGGCATATATGGTGCCGCTCCCTGGACGTGGACATGGGGTCACCCAGTGCCACCGGTATTGTCTCAGGAAATCAGAGGCACGAGACAGGGCCCACAGCCTAGACAGATAGATCAAGAGGAGTGAGGGCTTAGAGGGGACACTCACTCACTGATGGCAGGCACTTCGCTTCTAAACTTCTGTCTTATTCTTAGTGAGGCTGACCCTGAGCTTTGCCCATGGAGTCCCTTGGCGTGGGGGGTCATATGGAGCCAGGGGACTGAGAAGGTTTTTTTTTTTTTTTTTATGGGAGAGGTACCCTCCCGGCCCCAGAGGAGCAGAAACTGACCCAGTGCTTCCAGAAA